GAGAATTCCTGTCTTCCTCAGGGATCTTTTATTTCTAGGTACCAAACTGGGGCAGTTAAGTGGAATATTGCCCAATGAGGGTTAGTCAGAGATACTACAGGTGGCTCCAAGGACATAGAATTTTGGTGACATATGTTCATGAGTCATCAGAATGGCTTGGGAGTGTTATGGGAAAGGGACAGGGTGAGCTTAAGAGCAGAGATTGAAGGATAAGGGAGAATGAGATGGAGCTCTATATAGCAGAGTGCTTGGTAACCAGGGAAGCTCTGTGGCTGCTGCAGTCTCAAGCTTCTCTTCAGGAACCAGAGAACAGCAACTGAGTTCATTGGCCCCAGGTAAGCATGATTGTTTCCTTGAGGGGCACCCTTGGAAATGGAGGGCTGTAGAGACTGGAGTCCTCTAGGATTCAAAAATTCAGAGTCTTCTAGGATTTAAAAACCTCTTCTTAGCATACACAGTTCCTCTCTGGAAAGGCTTGGGGCTGTCTCTCAGGGGACTCAGTGGTCAGTGAACTGCACTGGTCAGTGGCGGAAGTGTGAGGCCATGACAGGGGCATCTTAAGGCCCATACACATTTTTATCAGAGGAATCGATAACCTCTAATGTCCTTTGGATCCAGAGATAAAAGGTCAAATCCCTGTCTGTGCTCTGTCGTGGTAATAAGTATCAGCCAGACACTAGTGGGCTGAGCTGTCCCTCCTCTAGAGACCCGGGCCTTGCTCTTTCCTTGGGGCTAGGGATGGAGCACAGTAGAGCTTTACCTGGGTCTGGAAGAGTCTTCCGGGCTCCCCTGTGGATCCTGCTGCCTTAGTGATGTCACTCTGTCTATAGTTCCCCACTAAGAAAATGGAGCATATTATCTCAGAAAATGAAATACCTCAATTTACGAACAAGTTATCTGCTCTCTCTACATGCACAGCTAATTTAAAATTGTGAAATTCTAATAACAGATTTTGCTTTTCACAACTTTAATAATCATTGCCAAATTCAATGATTAAAAAACCATCTTCAAAAATCCTCTGAGGTGTATGGAATTGTTCATCTTAAAGACCCCTGTTTATTTTGGAATAATGGTAGATTTACAGAAAGAGAGCAAAGGAATACAAAGAGTTTCTGTCTGTCCTCCGCTTTGCTGACCTGCGTTTAGTATCTTATATAAAACGAGATATTAAAAAAATGAGCTATTTATCCAAACTAAGCATCGACCACCACATAACGAAACCGTGTACTTTGTTCATCTCTCAGTTTTTCCACTAATGCTCTTGTATTGTTCCAGCATCCAATCCAGGACACCGCATTGTTTAATCCTCATGCCTCTTATTTCCTTCTCTCTGTGACATTTTGTTGAACATGTTTCTCATTCCATCAACAGCTTTGAAGGGTTTTGATCAGGATGTTGTAGAATGTCCCTCAGTTTGAGTTTGTCTGATGTCTCCGTGATTGGACTGGTAGGTTTTGGGGGGAAATGTAGAAGTGGAAGTGACTGTATAAGGGGTACACAGCACCAGAACAACTTACGTGGTGACATTAACCTTGATTTCTTGTGAGAAGACAAGATTTAGTTCCTAACACTCCTTGAGATAAACAAGTTTGAACTTTGCTTTGAAAGTCAAAAATTTCGATAGACGGTGCATAGTGGCTTAAGGCCGCTATGTTGAACATATGTGGCCTTGTCTGCTTTTAGAGACCTGTGATGGGGCTGGAGAGATGGCTCAGCAGTTAAGAGCACTGACTGCTCTTGCAGAGGACCCGGGTTTGATTCCCAGCCCCCACCTGGTGGCTACGAACCGTCCTAAACTCCAGTTCCAAGGAATCCAACACCCTCTTCTGATCTCCATGGCATTGCACAACACGGATGCACTCACATACATGCAGGCAATACTTTCATACACATAAAATAAAAATCATAAACAAGCTGGGTGTGGTGGCGCACGCCTTTAATCCCAGCACTTGGGAGGCAGAGGCAGGCAGATCTTTGTGAGTTCAAG